GTGGTTGGTGAGGAGTTGGTGGCAGAATCACCTCAGTTTGAGAAGCAGCAACTGTAGTACTAGAAGTAGCCATTCCCAAGCAATTGATTGACTTACATGACTACACGTGCCAAAATTTTATAAGGAAAGAATTAAAACACCCCCATAAATTAAGCCTCGCCCCTTTGCTATGCCCTTTTTTGAGCTAAAACCTGGTATGGCCAAGGCCATACCGGCCGTACCACTTGCTATGGCCCTGGTATTGACTAGTTCATCCTGGGCAGTTGCTTTCATCATCAAACCACTGCTCACTGGTGTAGCAACAGGCTTCGAATCCTGCAAACCGAAATGGTGCAGAAGAGTACTAATGTACATTGGTTGTCCTAACCAAACAGACTTAATTTCTTTGTTTTGTGTCACAGTAACTCCCAATAGATAATGCAGGTCTCCCAAATCTTTTACTTGAAATTGAGATTCATGAGTTTGTTTTACTTCCATTCTCTTCTTGCTTTTAGTTGCTAGAAGAATATCATCAACATAAACGGCTACAATGAATAATGCATCTTGATGACGACTTTTATAGAGGCACGGATCACTTGCATTTCATTGGAAGCCTATCTTTCTCAGTTGTCAATCTAGTGTTTCATTCCATTATCTTGGTTCTTGTTTTAGTCCGTAAAGGCTTTGTTTGAGTTTGCAAACGAGATGTTCCTTTCCTTTGATTGTGATTCCAGGTGCCTGCTTCATATAGACTTCTTCATTCAAGACTCCATTAAAAATGCTGATGTAACATCCATTTGACGTAGCAACATTCCCATCTGTGCAGCAACGGAAACAACATAACGGATTGATTCATATTCCACTACTGGACAAAAGATCTCATAATTTAGACCAGCTTGTTGGTCAGACAAGTCTAGCTTCATACCTCTCAACAGATCTATCCTCTTTAATCTTTCGTTTGTGTACCCATCTACAACCAATGGCCCTTTTCCCATCTGGAAGCTCCATGAGATCATATACTTCATTTGTCTTCAATTACCTCACTTCCTTATTCATGGCATCAATCCACTTGTCCTTCTCAGGACTAGCCAATGCGTAACTTAAGTTGTCAGGCTCCAATGGATGATTCCTGTTGCTGTATTGGCCCATATACCAAAAAGGTCTGGTACACTTCGATTTCTGTTACTATGTCTCAGTCTCACAGATTCGTCTACTACATAGGCAGCTGCAGGGTCAGGCATTTAGGGGCAATGCCCGACCAAAAATTCTGACCGGAAGTGTGACATCACCATAATTAATAGTTATTCTATGGTTAATTGATAGTTAATAACAGTTGTTGCAATTATAATTTCAATTTTTTATGAAAATCTTATCATTATGAATGCATAAATGGCAGGCTGATAACAAGGTGATGAAGAGAGACTAAATAAAGGAGGAGCTCGAGGTGGTAAGACTTTGGTGCCAATCACAGTGGGCCACCACAGCAACACTAGAAAGCATAATCATTTCATTATTTAGTGCTATTTCAGTGTTCTTTTCTTGTCAGTTGCAATATCTAAAAGCCTGGACTAGCTTCACTATGTCCTTTGTGAACAAGCCTGCTAAAAAGGAACAACTGTTTACAAAGTGAACCTAGTAAGTAGAGTATAGAAGTCAATATTACAGATTATCTCATAATTCTTACTTTAGGTCAGTTTCTTGCTGAATCAGTTGATGATCATGAGTCTCAGTCTACTCTTGTGGTTGATACAGCTACAGTTTTTACAGCTACAGTTGATGTACAGTCAATTGTTGCTCATTCTCCATCACCCTATTCTTCTACTTCCTCTACTAATACTACTACTAGTACTATTACCACTACAGAAGTCAGTGATGGAACTACACCACCCACTACT